TATTACAGATATCTTTTTGCAACTTCACTGCTAGTCTGTTCCATGGGTCTACATGTCTGGCTTTATGCCAGTAGCAAATTATTTTGATGAATGTAGTTTTGAATTATGTTTTGAAATCATGGAGTATGAAGCCTCTGGTTTTGTTTTTCTTTTCAAGATTGTTTTAGTTATTTGGAGTCCTTTGAGATGCTATATGGATTTTAGGATTTTTTCTATTTCTGCGAAAGAAGAATGCCATTTGGATTTTGACAGAATTGCATCACACCTATAGACTGATTGGGTTGTATGGATATTTTAACAATATGGAGTCTTCTAATACATGAACACAGGATGCCTTACCATTTATTTGTGTCATATTTAATTTCTTTCATTAATGTTTTGTAGTGTGCAAGTCTTTTACTTCCTTCAGTTTATTCCTAAACATTTTTTCTTTTTGACGCTACTGTAAATGGGATTTTTAAATTTTCCTTTTTGGATTGCTCATTGTTAGTGTATAGAAACAAAACTGATTTTTGAGTGTTGATTCTGTGTCCTGTAACTTTGCTGAATTCATTTTTTAGTTCTAACCGTTTTCTTGTGGAGTCCTTAGGGTTTTCTGCATATAAGATCATGTCATCTATGAACATAGATCATTTTACTTTTTCCTTTTATACTTGAATGGCTTTTATTTCTTTGTCTTGCCTAATTGCTCTGGTCAAGACTTCAGTACTATGTTGAAAACAAGTGGTGAGACAGGGTATCTTTGCTTCCTGGTTTTCAAAAAAAAGGTTTCAATCTTTCACCAGAGAGTCTGATGTTACCTGTGGGTCCTCAACATGTGGTCTTTATTATGGTTGAGGTAGTTCCCTTGTTCCTAGTCTTTTGAATGTTCTTATCACGAAAGGGTATTGAATTTTATCAAATAATTTTTCTATATCAGTGGAAATTACTGTGTCGTTTTGTACACCATTCCATTAATATGGTGTATTACATTGATTAATTTTTGTATGTTGAACCATCCTTGCATGCTAGGAATAAATCCCACTTGGTCATGCTGCATCAGCTTTTTTTTTTTTTTTTTTTTTTGGTACGTGGGCCTCTCACTGTTGTGGCCGCTCCCGTTGCGGAGCACGGGCTCCGGACACGCAGGCCCAGCGGCTGTGGCTCACGGGCCCAGCCGCTCCACGGCATGTGGGATCTTCCCAGACCGGGGCACGAACCCGTGTCCCCTGCATCGGCAGGCGGACTCTCAACCACTGCGCCACCAAGGAAGCCCTACATCAGCTTTTTAATGTGTTGTTGAATTTCTTTTGCTAGTATTTTGTTGAGGATTTTTGCATCAATATTCATCAGGGATATTGGGCTTGGTTTTCTTTTCTTGTGGTATATCTGTATGATTTTGATATCAGGGCTGGCTCCATAAAATGAATATTGAAGTATTCCCTTCTCTAACTTTTTGAAAGAGCTTTGGGAAGGACTGGTATTAATTCTTCTTTAAATGTTTAGTAGAATTCTCCAGTGAAGTTATCTGGTCCCAGACTTGTCTTTGTTGAGAGGTTTTTGATTACTGATTCTATCTCCTTACTAGTTATAGATCTGTTCAGATTTTTAAATTTATAATTCAGTATTAATAGGTTGTACGTTTATAAAAATTTACCCATTTCTTCTAGGTTATTCAATTCATTGGTGTATAAAAGTTCATAGTCTCTCTTATGATTCTTACTATTTTTATGGCATCAGTTGTAATGTCTCCTCTTTCATTTCTGGTATTTATTGCTTGAATATTCTGTTTTTGTTAGTCTAGCTAAGGGTTTGTCAATTTTGTTGATCTTTTAAAAAACCAACCCTAGTTTCTTTGAGTTTTTTCTACTGTTTTTTTCTAGTCTCTATTTAGTTTATTTCTGTTGTAATCTTTATTTTTTTCATTCCTGCTGTATCTTTGGGTTTAGCCTGTTCTAGCTCCTTGAGATATAAAATTATGTTGTTGATTTGAGATATCTCTTCTTTTTTATTATTATTATTTTTTAAATATTTATTTATTTGCTGTATCAGGTCTTAGTTGCAGTGCATGGGCTCTAGAGTACCCAGGCTCATTAGCTGAGGCATGGGCTTAGTTGTCCTGCAGCATGTGGGATCTCAGTTCCCTGACCAGGGTTCGAACCGGCATTCCCTGCATTGCAAGACTGATTCTTAACCACTGGACCACCAGGGAAGTCCCCTCTTCTTTTTTAATGAAGGCATTTACCACTAGATACTTCCCTCTTAATAATGCTTTTCCTGCATCCTATAATTTTTGGTATATTCTGGGGATGCATCTTCTCTGGGCCTAGGCACATAATTTCCCAGTTAGAGCTTTGTCAGTTTCTTTTTCAGGAGTTTATAATCTCTTCCTCCCTCTAGTGTTTATCTGTGGTACCACAGGTTCTCTGATGCTGCAACAAGCCACTAAGCTCTTTTGTTCTCTCCAGCCCCCCAGGCATCCAAAGTATGCTGGTTCTGTTACTGCCTCAAGTCAGGGCAGACAGAAACTAATCTCTAGGGTAGCCCCTTTAAAAGTTGTAACGTGGTATGCACATTCCACTCTTCTCCCCACCCCCACCCCAAAAGAGAAGTTGTGAGTTGGGTACTTTGTCCTCATCATGCTGACCTGAGCCAACCTGTCTGTGGCACTGCCACAGACAGGTTGTGTCTGTGGCACTCCGCAAAGAGCAGCGGAGCTCTCTTTAACTCTCCATGGTCTCCAGCAATTGAAAGTATGCCGACTCCCTGTCAGTGGTCAGAGTCAGGAAGGACAGATAGCAGTCCCTCAGGTAGCCCCCCAAAAGTCAGAACACTGGGCACTTTCCAGTCTTTCCCTCCCAAGGGAGATACTTCCAGCTGGACTTTTCCCCCCAATCCTCTCAAGCCAGGCCAGCTTAAGGGAGGGGCTACTGTGGTTGATATGAAATGGCTTTCTTACCCGTTTTGGTATGGCTATGCTTGACTTTGAGTTTGCCAGGGGTATTGTGACTTTGTAATTGATTTCTGAAGTCCCATAAAGTCTCTTTGGGTCATACACTAGTTTTAAGTTAGTGTCTCTGTGGAGGAACAGGACTAGGGCTTCCTATTCTATCTTGCTGACATCACTCCTAAAGAATTTTTAAAATGTTTATTATTTATTCAGTTTTCCTCTTTTGGTAATGACCTGCTTATACAGCTTGTCCATTTCCATACTGGAGTGTTTGCCTCTTTATGAGTGGTTTCCAGGAGGCATTTCTATAGTTTGCATACTAGTCCTTTGTCTGTTTTACAAGTTGTAAATATCTTCTACGTCTGGCTGCCCTTTTCTATTTGTTAACAGCTTTTTGTTTTTATTTTTATTTATTTTTAGCTGAATTTTAAGAAATCAATTTTACCTATATTGGGAGTTTGGTGTGGGGTGTATGTACACACTGCATCTTATTGATTTTTGAAGTCCCCTTCAGTAATTTTTAATTCTATTATTTAAAAGATCCATTATTCAACATTCACCTCAAGGCTAAATCAAAGTCTTTACCTGACATGTAAATGATGGTAAGTGCTTTCCATGCACCCTACAGGCTCTTCTTATTACTTTTTAAGGTATATTTTATATACCACAAAATGCACCTATTTGAAATGTACAATTCAAAGATTTTTAACAAATTACTGACTTGGACAACCATCATCATCATCATCATCATCATCCACTTTCAGGACATTTCCATCACCTCAAGATCTTTTGTGCTCATCTGCAGGAAATCCCTGTATCTACCTCTAGTCCCAGGCAACAACTAATCTACTTTCTGTCTCTATAGTATGATTTGTCTATTCTGGACATTCTATAAGCATGGAATCATACAATATGTGGTCTTTTATGACTGGCTTCTTTCACTAAGCATTATGTTTTTTTTTTCTGCGGTACACGGGCCTCTCACTGTTGCAGCCTCTCCCGTTGCAGAGCACAGGCTGCGGACGCGCAGGCTCAGCGGCCACGGCTCACGGGCCCAGCCGCTCCGCGGCATGTGGGATCTTCCCGGACCGGGGCACAAACCCGTGTCCCCTGCATCGGCAGGCGGACTCTCAACCACTGCGCCACCAGGGAAGCCCTCTTACCCATTTTTGAACTGAGTTTTTTCTTGTTGTTGAGGTTTAGGAGTTCTTTTTATAGTCTGGATATTAGTCCCTTATCAGATATATCATTCTCAAATGTTTTCACTCACTGGGTGTTGGCTTAATATTAATGAAATCCAATTTATCTACTTTTGCTTTGTTTCTTGTGCTTTTGGTGTCATATTCCAAAAATCCCTGCCAAATCTAATGTCATGAAGATTTTCTCCAGTGTTTTCATCTAAGAGTTTTATAGTTTATTTTAAAGGGTTAAATGCAAAGGACTCCTAAAGGCTGAGGGCAAAGACCATTTCTGATAGAGCTTTAATTTCCAATAGCTTTACAAAAAAAAGGCCACAAATTTCTTTGGCCCCCAGATTCTCTTAATGAGTTGTTAAAAATGAAATGTTCACCAATAAAAACAACTTTGAATTCCTTCATATAGTGAAGAAACATTTTGTAATATGATTAATTGCCTTTAAATTTGTCTGAATCTGTTTGATTTGTTTAGTCTAGATTTTGGAATATTATGTTTCTTAAAATAGGTTATTTGTGTACATCAAATATCTACTGCCTTGTAAATATTCTGATCGTGTACGTGTGTGTCTGAACGATACACACTCACACTGAGCTGCACACTTCCTTTTGTGTTCCATACTGCATATGTGGGGCTTTTTACTCAATGGGTGCCCAAGAGTCATTGTACTGACCTGAGAGTTGAGAGAATAGTAATTAAAAGAAGAAAATTTGTAAAACTTACCAATTTGCCATGTATCCCCTGAAAATAATCTCTCCACATAGAATACAACCATAACTATGAACATGCATTTCCTAAGAATTATAAAATTTTTCTCTTATAACCAAACTGATACATTTTGAAACTTAAGAATAGGGATGCTTAGTTTAACACCTACCGCCTTTGAGTGTTAAATCCATTAAGATGATTCTCTCTGAGTTCAGACACTAATGATAAAACCATCTGTAAAACAAAATCAGTTTCAGGTTAACTCACGCTGCAAACAGGATTACATCAGTTCTATTTTTCTTGATGTGAGTGATATTTCCGTTGAGATTCCCTACTCTCTTTCCCCACCAATCCTTTCCTTGTCTTACTTTGTCAAAGCAGTGCCGAGTCACGTTTACTAATAACTTGGATTTTATGTTTAATGTCTGTTACTCCATATTCTGATGTAAGCAAATGAATAATAGACAAGTCATTAATTTCCCCCAAATTAAAACCAAGCCTGTTAAAAATAAAACCATGTTAGAGTTAGCTTACTTTTTTCCTTTCTTAACTTAGTTCTTTACTTTTAAAAAATGCTATTCATGTATAAAGCTTCCAAAAGACGGGAATAGTTAATAAACATTAAAAATCTCATAACATTTTTTAGAAGAGCTATGTTAAGACCATAAGTTAAAATTTCTTGAATTTGGTTAAAATTTAAGGTAGACGAAATCACAGCTTTAATACTAAGATGTAAATATATAATACTATTTACAAGATTTTTATTATTGAATATTTTGCTTTAACATAAAATTCCTATCAGGTTATTTTTAAATACGAAATTCATCCAACAGTAAAAGGCTGTGTTTATATTGGTTAAGGAAATCTTTTCTCCCAAAAATCTTTGAGAGAATAAATGAGATGTATGTGTTAAGGGACAGAGAGGTTGGTTGATTTAGAATAACCTCTCCTGGTTTCCTTCTTCTTTCTCATAATCTCCCATCTCACATTTTTTCCTTACATGGTCATAAGTCCACCCAAGGTAAGAAGAGATAAACATAGAAAAGTTAAACATCTCTCCTGGAGGACTGAAATATTTCCATTTACCTTTTTTTCAGATGGTACATTAAGCAATGAAAATTTCAATACTAATAAATTAAAAATACTCACATTTTTAAGTAAACCAGGATAGTAATCTGTGGGTGCATACCCAAGAACTTGAGTAAAAAGATCAACTTCTTTTATATTAAATCTGAAGGTGGAAAGTATATGAGATAACAACCCCTAAAAAACATAAACAGAAAGAGAAAAAGGTCTTAAAAATTAATGTAAGTCCCCATTATATATAATGCCTAGAATCTGGGTCATCTGCAAATGGGGTGGTCTCTATGAAACGAATAATCTTAATTTGTCCAAATAACTCAGGTCACTTTGATTCAGGTATAAAGAAGAAATAAGTTAGTGATAAAATTATTACATTAAGTAAATTTAAACAAATACTAACAGTGAAAAAAATGTATAACTAATGAACAGTGCTTTCACCATATTAAAAATGTGATCTTTACTGTTTTCAAACTCAGTAAAATATTTTTATCAGAGTAGAGGTGATAATTTAATACATAAAAAGGAATGCACCACAAATCACAAAGGAAAGATTATGCAATTAATGGTGCTAGGAAAACTATTTGAAAAAAATTAGATTCTCACCTTACGTTATTATTAAAGTATACTTGAATTTACTGTAAATTAAAGAGATCAATGTAAAACTGAAATAAAATAATAAGAAGAAAATACAAGTACTTTTCACATGTCTGAAAGGGGAAGAACTCTGTAAACTGAAAATCAAGGAAGCAAATCACTGATTGTTTTAAATTAAAAAACAAAAAAACTCTTGTGTTTTCTAGTGAATAATATAAGCACAAAACTATGAAGAATATTAACAACAAATAATACAGACATATGTAATCAAATCAGTGTGCAAAATACCATATGACAAATACTAAGAGCATAAAAAAGGAGTATGAACAGATAATTTCTAAAACAAAACACAAATGCCCAAGAAACACATGGATAAATGTTCAGCCTCATAATCAAAAAGGCAAATTTAAATATCAACATAACATTTTCCATTAAATGAATTAAAGAGTTTTAAAGACATGAATACCTAATGCTAATCTGGGTTCTCTGAAACAGGTACTCTGTGTGAGCTTTTGGAAAAATACAAATGGGATCCACACATCACTGCTATTGTGAACTGCACGAAGGCACCTATAGAGTGTAAGCAAGTATAACACAAACCATACCCACCCCCATGCTTGGACTGCCAGGGCTATGTCTGCCTAGATGTTTGTAACGTGAAGACACCTTATAGGTTGGTAGAGGCCTACTTTATAGAAAACAACTTGAGAATGTATATTAAAGGTTTTAAAAGCATTCAGAGCTTTTAACATACATTTAAGGAAATAAATCCAAATATCATGATGGGGATTATGCTCAAAGATGTTCACTACAGTGTTATTTCTCATAGTAAAAAACGTCTAACAGCAGGGAATGATTAATTTATAATATCCTCAATACCATGGCTCACTGTAAGCCATTAAAATGCTTATAAAGAATTTATGACAGCATTTTAAATGGTTATAATGTTAAATGAAGAAAGGAAGATGCAAAATCGTATATACAGAAATGATTTTATCAATATAAAAACAATCCAGGGGCTCCCCTGGTGGCGCAGTGGTTGAGAGTCCGCCTGCCGATGCAGGGGACACGGGTTTGTGCCCCGATCCGGGAAGATCCCACATGCCGCAGAGCGGCTGGGCCCGGGAGCCATGGCCGCTGTGCCTGCACGTCTGGAGCCCGTGCTCCGCAATGGGAGAGGCCACAACAGTGAGAGGCCCGCGTACCGCAAAAAAAATAATAATAATAAAAAGAAAAACAGAAAAACAACCCTGTACCTTAATACTCAGTGTTGGCAAAGATGTGGTAAGGGGCACTCCATTGCTGTTGGATACACAATTTTTTTTAAATAAATAAATTTATTATTTATTTATTTATTTATTTATTTATTTATTTTTGGCTGTGTTGGGTCTTCGTTGCTGCGCATGGGTTTTCTCTAGTTGCGGCGAGTGGGGGCTACTCTTCTGTTGTGGTGGGCTGGCTTCTCATTGAGGTGGCTTCTCTTGTTGCGGTGCACGGGCTCTAGGTGCACGGGCTTCAGTAGCTGTGGCACACAGGCTTAGTTGCTCCACGGCATGTGGGATCTTCCCAGACCAGGGCTCGAACCCGTGTCTCCTTCATTGGCGGATTCTTAACCACTGCGCCACCAGGGAAGTCCTGGGAGCACAAATTTGTAAAGCCTTCCTGGGAAGTCACTTGATGATATGTAACCAAAGCATTAAAATTCATATCCTTTTATCCAGTAATTTGATTTCCAAAAATATATCCTAAGGAAAGATTTAGGTTCATGACAGTATTACTTATAACAGTGAAAAACTAGAAGCAACCAAAGCACCCAAAAACATTGGATTTGTTGAATCCATCTTGGTTTATCCAACAGCATGAATCACATTGTAAAAAAGATATTTAATGACATAGGAAAAGACAATGTAACATTAATTTGAAAATCAAGGTGTAAAAACTGTATATTCAATGTGATATTAATTTTATATGCAAAAAAATACTAGGAAGAAACATGACAGTTAACATATATTATTTCTGGGAGTGATTTAAAATTTCTTCTTTATACTACCTGTATTTCCAAAGTTTCTACAATTACCATATCTTACTTTTTATCATAAAAAAATGTTTTGTAAAATGCAATTATGCGCTTTAACTTATGTGTTTTTTCTCATAATTCCCTAATACAAATTGCTATGAAGGGACACAAGAGTTTTATCCCTGAATGAAATAAGCATAAGTCCTAGAAACAACATATTGAGGCCTTGCTATGGTTGCATAACTTCAAAACAGACACCTTAAACTTTAGACCTACAAATCTGTCTTTTAAAGTAAACTTAAAAATTGATAAGTACTTCTCATCGCTAAGAATAATATTTCTTACTGCCACCTAGTGGCAAACATTCTAAAGAAAAAACCATTAAAGATTCTGTAGGCACTGGCCCTTGGACAAAAATTAATTCCTACGGTCACACGATAATTGACTCATTTTAAAATGCTGACAAAGCAATCTTGGAAATCTTCTACTCCAACCCCCTCATTTTACTGATGAGGAAGTGAGCTTCTAAATACATAAATCATTATCTACAAAAAGATGTGCATGTATATGAATAGGCTCCGATTTGAAAGGCATAAAGAAAATGTGCAAATGCAACACGCTGACTAGTGATCTAAAATCCTTCAAGCGTGGAAAGTGCAGGAACCAACACAGTTGTGCACAAAACATTTTAAGCCCAATTTTGATTCATGTATGAGTTTGAACTCTGCTAATGTTTGAAAAGCCACTTAAAACTGCTTACACCAGGGGGCTTCCCTGGTGGTGCAGTGGTTGAGAATTTGCCTGCTAATGCAGGGGACACAGGTTTGAGCCCTGGTCTGGGAGGATCCCACATGCCGCGGAGCAACTAGGCCCGTGAGCCACAACTACTGAGCCTGCGCTCCGCAACAAGAGAGGCCGCGATAGGGAGAGGCCCGTGCACCGCGATTAAGAGTGGCCCCCGCTTGCCACAACTAGAGAAAGCCCTCGCACAGAAACGAAGACCCAACACAGCAAAAATAAATTAATTAATTAAACTCCTACCCCCAACATCTTCTTTAAAAAAACAAACAAAAAAACCAAAAAAAAAAAAAACCTGCTTATACCATGAAAGTGAACTTTTGAGAAGAAAAGTTTTAAATAAATCAGGGGAAAGTCCATTTCCCTTGTTTTCAGGTGTTCTTTCTTGTCCTAGTCTCATTGTATCCGCTCCGTCTTGTAACAGGCAGCACATTCACAGGCGGGTTAGTAAAGCTGGAGCTATGAGGCTGTGGTTTGGCGCAGAGTATGGGTGTGGAAGAAGGGCTGTGGTTTATAGTTAGGCAAAGGGTTAGGAGAGCCAAATTGTGGTCAATACTCTTGAACTGAGACTGAGCACATATTTTATACTTCTCCAAACAATTTCTTCATCTGATCATTAAAGTCCTTTAGAATTTCCACCACTTTGGTCTCTACTACATCTATCTCTTTACACATAATATAAATAAAAACTTTGGTAAACAAGGATCCCTTATTCATTCATTCATTCATCAACAAACATATATTAAGTATGATCTGCATTCAAGCCACTCTACCGGGGCTATTGTGATAAGAAGCCCCCTACAATCCGATGAAGGGAGAGAGATGGAAATATCCGTAATACAAGACAGAATGCACTAAGTGCTATAATGAAGGGGTAAGACAATCACTGTGGAAACAGAGGAAGTAATGATTAATTCTAACTGTAGGGTTTCAGAGTGCTCCCAGAGATGATGACTTCTGAGCTGATTCTGACAGTTAGGGAAGGAGAGAAAGAGAGAGGAGAAGGAGGTGTAGGAAAGAGAGGGTGTGTAATGATGGCTGCGCTAGACGGAGAAAAATGACTAGAGGGATTAGAGAAGGGCGGTGGAAAAGCAGCCATGGTGTGTGGGCAAAGACATGGGAAATGTTCCTGTAACCCCTACTACTCCAATCCTTCACTGGATTCCTAAGCATAGCCTCCCCTACAGGGCCTCAGGCTACCTGGTCAAACTTACTTCTCCCGAGGAGGGACCTTCAAGATTGTGGAGGAGTAAGATGTGGAGATCACCTTCCTCCCCACAAACACATCAATAATACATCTATATGTGGAACAACTACTGAGCACCTACTGAACGCTGGCAGAAAACCTCAGACTTCCCAAAAGGCAAGAAAGTCCCCACGTACCTGGGTAGGGCAAAAAGGAAAACAGAGACAAAAGAATAGGGATGGGACCTGCACCTCGGGGAGGGAGCTGTGAAGGAGGAAAAGTTTCCACATACTAGGAAGTCCCTTCACTGGCAGAGATGGGGAGTGGGTTGGGGGGAAGCTTTGGGGCCACGGAGGAGAACACAGCAACAGGGGTGCAGAGGGCAAAGTGGAGAGATTCCTGCACAGAGGATCGGTGCTGACCAGCACTCACCAGCCCGAGAGGCTTGTCTGCTCATCCGCCAGGACGGGTGGGGGCTGGAAGCTAAGGCTCCGGCTTCAGAGGTCGTATCCCAGGGAGAGGACGGGGGTTGGCTGTGTGAACACAGCCTGAAGGGGGCTAGTGCGCCACAGCAAGCCGGGAGGG